ATACAATTGGTTGGCAGGCCAGAGCTGACTTGTGGGCCATATTTTGCCCACCTGGTTTAATAGCTATAATGGATCTGTCATCCATGAATTTGTCTATTCTATTTTTGAACCTAGCTATGCTGTCTGCCTCCACCACCTCCTGTGGTAATGAGTTTGGCAAGCTAACTAGGTGCTGTATAAAAAAGTACTTTCTCCTGTAAGTTTTAAAACTTTCTCCTGCTAATTTCAATGGGTGCCCCCTAGTTCTAGTATTCTGGGATTTGATGAATCCTTATTCAATTTGTCTATACCCTTCTTGATTTTGTAGACCTCTGTCATATTCCTTCTCAATCTTTCCTTACCAAACTTAAAAATTCTGGCTCTTTTAGTCTCTCCTGATATGGCAGCTGCTCAATGCTCCTGATCATCTTGGTTGCCTTTTCTGTACCTTTTTTTTTTTTTTGTAAAGACAGGCAGATAGATTTTCTGTTACTTATTATCTGTAAGAAAACCTTAGAAAAACAAACTGAGGGGCTGTGTCCCCTAGCTACATATGACCCTGCAAATGTGCCTCATTTTAATTGGATAATCTTCAGTGTTCAATATAAACTCTGGATCACATGTCTGTATTTGGTGTGTTCAGTATTGCTTTGTGGATTCTGCAGTAGATGTCTCTATCTGCACAGGCTGCTGAAGACCACTCTGTGTGTTTTCCAAACAAGACTTTGTGAAAATATTTTACACCTAAAGAAATACCAACATATTTTTGCTGTTACACCAGTTTTACTCTAGCTATGAAAAAAAAATTATGGCTTAGTAAAGAGCATTTGCATTATGTTGGAATAATGTAGAAAAATAAAACTGCTCTTGTTGGAAGAATATCTGCTTTTCCCAAACACAAATACCTCTTTCCATCCACCTGGAAAGTCATGAAAATTATGACATCCGTAAAGCAGATTGAATAATGGTTGTGAGATATTTCATGATGTCCTCTTCAATCTGTATATTTCACTTTTTGTCTGAGATGCTGATTCTGTGATATCTGCTAGTCTGTTACCCGTCTGTTGCCCTGAGCCTAGCTGTCTGCCCTGAGCCTAGCTACTTCTTCTTTCAGGCGCCAGGTGTCCCTCAATCCACAGTAAGGGGTACCACAGAACCAAACTATCCCAGAGGCATTCTTTCCAGAGCTCCTAAGTATCTGCCATTTACCTGCTATTCCATTTCTTCCTGGGCTGCAGGTTATTACCCATCATGTCTGGATGACACTGGTGACCAGTTCAGATGAGAGGTGAAAGCAGAGCCCTGGCCACCTCCTTTGAGCTCTGCCTGCCTTCATAAAGTTCATAAAGTGAAGAAGTGTCTTTATAGCTTCCCTTCTAGTGAGGGTAGATCTGATCTCTCTAATTGCTGGGGCAGTTGCTAAATATGTATTGGCACCTGGATACCATAGCAATAGGCACTATATATAATCTTACATAAAAAAAGATAGCTGCAACCAAAGCATGATCAGCATCCTCCTGGAGCCCTGGATAGAAGAATTTCAGCAATCTGAAAGGCAGCCCTTGTGTTCCGTGTTCCTTTCTCTCATGGATTCCTTGGCTTCTCCATTGACCTTCCTGGTAATAAATTGATGTGGATTTATCAGTATTTAATATAAAGGGAAAAACAGGCCTTGGGGTTGTACTTCCATTTCCCATCCTTGAGCAAGCGAAGGTCATGGGCAGTGTCTAGTTAGCCTGTGCTTCTGTGCAGCAGTATGTTTTTAGGAGCTTAGAGGAAAAGGAAAAACTGCCAGGCAGGCACATTCATCCCTTGGCTTCAGTCTCCCAGAGCTCCTGTCACTGTCAGGCCCTTGATGCATTCTTCATTGGTGTTTATCTCCAGAGAGTCTCAGAACTAGATTTCAAGGGGAGGTAACGATTTATAGCTAATCCTTTACTGACTACAGTCAGTGACAGCAGCATTGGCCCTTCTGGGGCTACAAAGGCATGGACTTTCCCAGTGGCTGCCAGGTGGAGAAGGGAGACAGCTAGCCAGGAACTGGGCTTGAACCTGAGCAGAGGGGGATGACCCCCTTTCCCTTGGCTAAGCATGAGGCCCCAGTGATACCCAGCCTGTCCCAGTCCATATGGAGAGGCTTCCCAGTTCCAGCATCATGCTGAGAACAGAGAGCTGTGTGCCTTCTGTGGCCCCAGGCCCAGTCATATCACAGCCTTATGATATGATGTGAAGGTTGGGCTTTCTCCTGTGTGATACTGCCTTTGCTATCTCCCATGAGTGGCAGGGATCAGGAGAGCTCCCCCTCCCAGCCAAGCCCTGTGGCAAGTGCTTCAGATGGGAGGGGGGTGACTTTACAGCAGGAGAATCCCAGCTGCCAGGAAGAGAGAACAAAAGCAGGGAGCCCTATGGATGCTGTGTGCTGAGGGGTGGGCCCTGGGAGCATCACACTGTGGTTGATCAGGAATTTTCAAATGCTAATATTTTTAGCATTACAGTGGATATGAATCATGAGGTAACTGGACTAGGACTTCAGGGAGACCCTCACACAAGCAGAAGATTTCTTGTCACAGATGTGGGAAGAGGCTGACTGGGTGGCATTACTGGAGGTTGCAGGGGGTTCCCATAGACAAAGAGGATAGTTTTAGCCAAGATTTTGGTAGACTTGAAAAAAGGAAAGGGTACTGAAGGAATTTTAGCTGAGAGCGTGGTCAGGAGCTAATAGTGGCAGGAGGGGAAGCTAGTTTCTATCATCAACAAGAAAGATGAAGTAACAAGACATGGGCCAGTCTTTGCCTTGATCCTTCTGCTGGCTGTCTTCCTGCAGGCACATGCACATCTGCCATCAGTCCCTGTCTGTGTAAATGTCAAGTTACCTGAAGCAGGTTCGGTGCCTTTCTCTGCATTTTAAAACTGCTTGGCACATCCTGGGTGATACCACAGTCTAGACTGGGGTAGGCAAAATGACAGATCTGGCTGGTGGCTGGACTCCAGTTCCCAGCAGCCCCTACACAGGTTGCTGCAGCTGGTTTCCATGGAGACCTCATCAGCGGCAGGGTAGTGATAGTGTGGGGGCTATGGTTTCCATGGAGACTGGCCCCAGCAGTGCTGGTAGGGCACGCGGCTAGGCAGGGAGGGGGGCCAGGGCCAGGATCTTACAGTGGTGACAGCGTGGTCTGGAGCTAGGGCAGTGCTGCAATCTGCTGCTCACATATCCCAGGCTGGGGCCAGTGTCCATGGGAACCCTGGCCCCACATTGTCACAGCCCTTGCACTCCCAGGGTCTCCATGGAAACCAGCTGCAGTGACACAGGCAGGGTCTGCTGGGAAATGGAGTCTGCCACGGGCCCGATCCAGCCCATGGGCTGGACTTTGCCTGCCCCTGATCTAGATCGTAAAAAGTAATTGCATCAATAGCATGAAACTCTACACAGGATAAATGTTTTAAACTCAGAAATCTGTACAAGCTACACTAATGACTTTGTTTTCTTGATGGAAATGAAATTAAAGAGGCCAAAAAGCATAAAGGATAAGATCCTTACCTCTGTTTTGACCATTGTCTGATGGGTAAAGGGGTCTCAAAAGACGCAGTTGATGTCAAGAGGGTTCCCCTGGCACAATAACTATGGATGGTAGCCATGAAGCTGTCTTCTGAGGACCCTTTTGCAGTCCCTGATATGGAGGCTTATACAGGGCATGGGAGAGCAGGTGGCAAAGGGACATGGCAGGATGGAGCAGTGTGCGAGGCTGTTCAGCACAAGCCCATGTGGCAGTATGGGGAGGCTGCTGTACTGAAGGCCTCCAGGGCTTATGTGAAGGGGAGCAGCCTTCATTTGGGAGGATGAAAAAATGTCTTAAAACCGCTACATCCCTTATCATCTTTGTGAGCTATAAATTTTGCCGTGGCACAGACTTTCATGCTGAGACCTTTTCCCAAATGGCTGTGTTGTTTTCGTGGGTATGTAGGTACTTAGGCTTGTTCTTAAAACTGTGGTTGATTTAACTTATAGATTTCTAGTGTGCTTAACATTATATTTTCCTAGAAAGATAAATCCCACTATAAAAACACCTAAAGTAGCTCTGTACTAGGGGACTGAAGGCAAAGAGAGAAAATAGAGGCACATCATGAACACCAGCCGGTGAAAAAAAATCCTCTTGAGAAACAAACATTCTGCCTATAATGCGTACAGAAGCATAATCCCCATGAGAAATATCATCAGAAAGGCAACAGGTGAAATAGTACAAAACCATTTTAATTTGCACATAAAAGTCCTTGAAAATGACAAGTTGACAACTTAAAACAATTTTGAGATCCTTGCTGCCAGCTCCCATTTCTCTCCTGCTTCTTCATTTGAAGACAGCTTCTTGCCCACAAGCATCTTCAGAAGGTTCATGGCAGATTGAGTGTCCCAGGGCACAAAAGTTTTGTCTAGCCTACAGTTTGTCTGGGCCTGAAATAGCTGCCTCTTCCCTTAGAGGGATAAGACTCTGCCTCTTACCTTAAAGGCCAGCTCTGAACCCCTCGGGCAGATAAAACTACTGTTGACATAGAAGGCAGAAACACCAAATATTCTAGTGCTCTTGCTTACGTGAACTGACAGGAAGGTAGAAATTGGGGTTTGGGGTGGGGAGGGGGTCAGAATTAGCATCCCAGAAGGAAGCTGTAGGCATTGCTTTCCATGATCCGCCAGGAGAGGCAATTGATATTTATAATATATTATAACCTCTATTATACCCAAGTTTATGGCTTGCTGACTCTCACATGTAAAAACAAGGTCCTGCTTTGTGACTAATGACTGCATATAAAGATAAATAAGTCAGTACATTTTTACTCATCTACTGCATTTCGTTAGGAGCATTTTCAGAAATGTGTATGTGCCGTACTAACTCAAACTGCTTTGAAAGTGAATAAGGCTCAAGCTTCTAGCTACTCATGAAGAGGCTGCTCCTATTAAATGTGATTACTGTGCTTTGCAAGGTGAGCTCCTTTCGCCTCCTAGCGGTGTCTTGCCTTTGTAATTTCAGATGTGGTGGTGCAGTGGTGTACACAGGGAGACTTACTGGCTGTTGCGGGCATGGAAAAGCACAGTCAGCTCACTGAACTTGGCAACGGTTCCATGCTGAAGAATGCGCTTGTCAAGTTCTACAACGTTCGTGGGGAACATATCTATACGCTGGAGACACCCGTGCAGGTAAGGGATGTTATGAGATATCATGTGTAATGCTCATGCATGAATAATGTTACACCTACAGTAGCTCCACAGTATAGACACATATTACTGTAGTGTTCAACTGTGGTTTTGATAAGCTTCAAGTCTTTGCTTTTTGCAACACCTAGAATGTGAATTAACATAAATTATTGTTGTTTGCCCTAGCTGGGATTGGGGCCTCATTGTGCTAGGCACTGTACAAACATATAGTGAGATACTTTGCCTGACAGACTACAACGTAAATAGGCAATATAGACCAAGAAAGCACTATTATTTCTGTTTTATAGATGAGGCACCAATGAACACATAGGCTAAATCACTTGCCTCCAGTCACACAGAAAGTGTTTGACAGAGCTGGGAACGGAACTTAACCTCCAAGTCTAGTACCCTAACTATAAGACTGCCCTGTCCTTAACCACAAAACTATAATGTGCAGGGTGCCTCTGCCCCAGTATAGAGGTAGGACAATCTAACACAACAGGAAGTCCTAGAATGTGGAGTGACATGGTGTCAGACTGACACTGAAGCCATGATGGTCTAGGAGTTATGTGAGAGGCAAGGATTTTTCTGGGTGATATCTTTTCTTGGACCAACTGCATGGTTGGGGTAAAGTTAGACAAGCTTTCAAATGCAAGGCATTCTTCATCAGATCTGAGGAAAAAAGCAGCCACGGCAATTATGAAAAACAATGGATGGGGCTGTGAAATTGTAGAGGGAAGAAATTCCTAGTGGTAGCAGACAAAGAATTAGACAAGGTTTTTTTCCCCAGTCATCATGGAGAACCCCCTCCCCTCTCCCCGCCCCACCCAATCTTGGGTTAGCATATACAGTGGGGGGGGGGGGGGGGGGGGGGGGGG